GATATAAAATAAGAAGACGTATTGTAAATTTTCATTTTTTTAATATCGCTTAGAAGAAATTTATAGCATATTTTAAAATAAGCTGTAATAAAAGTTACATATAATTATCATTATCATGGTTTATAATTGTTGAATTCGTCACGACCGGCCAACTGACCTACTTTCATCCTCACCTATCATGTCTAACTAGTGCCCTGCCAGCGTATACCAATACCATCATTAAAAAAAGCCAGTCAAGTGCGAGTCGGACTCCCGCAACGAAAGTTCCGTACAAAATCATCAAGTGTAATTTTTTATGAAATAACAAAAAATTTACGGTTTTCGGATTTTTTCCTTTATTTGTGCTTACATGACATTGCTTCTTGTCAAATTTCATGATTCTAGGTCAGCACGAAGTACCCTATAGGTTTTAAGTCCCTTTGTGAATGTCAAGATATGCGATAATAAAACCGTTTAAAAACAGCCATATCTTTTGATTGCGTCGATTTAGAAGCTTAATTTTTTCACTGCTTTAAGAGATTGCAGACCTGAGTATATGATATTAACTGCAGCTTGATACCTCCACGCGTTCCTAAGAAAAAAGGTCTTGACAGATGAACGGACAGACGAATGGACAACAGTGATCACATAAGGGTTCCATTTTTTTTCTTTGGAAGTAGGAAAACAATCTTCATATAAACTAAAAACCTATTTTCATTATTACAATGAAAGTGATAAATCACTTTCATTCATATTAAGAATTTAGTGTAAAACTAAAAGACAAAACAATAGATAAAACAGATTTATGAGATTTTTTTTTTTATTAATAAATCACTCATGATGTGTAACATTAATATACCAAATAATCTTTGTGTTGTATGTAATGCAGACCTCAAGAATGAACCTGCAGAATCAACATAAAATATTAAAAATAAAACTTATATTTTTTTTATACATACATACATACTTATCTGTCACACCTGTCTCTCATTACAATAGGTAGACTAGTAGAATTCCAAATGCCATATTTGAAAGCATAAAACATAGGAAATTAATAAATTCTTTGTCTAATTGGTAATAAATTGCATATGGCATTGTATTATAATTATTTAAAGGATGCCAGAAATATTATTATTATTACTATTGTTAATAAATGTAATCTTTTGAGAATCCCTAAAATTTTGTATATGCCTGGATACATAATTACTACATACACAAGTAACACCATAACATAAACTACCTTTTTTTATACAACTTATAATGGCAAACAAGCTGACGGCCCACCTGATGGAAAGTGGTAATCTTCGTCTATAGACATGAGCAGTACCATGAACATAACAGAGTATACTGTTTCGCCCATGATACCCCCCATGCGTTGCCATTCCTGAGGACTCAGGTGTTATTCCTCTGTACCCTGTAAATGCACGCCATACCACACCCTTCAAACCGAAACACAGCCATGAAAACACAATTGCTACCTACAATAAAATTATAAGGAGGACAAGATGTAACTGAAAGTTCTTTTTAAACTGTTAAAGAACTAAATTTACCAATAAGATACCAGTTTAAAGATTGTTCATTAACAATAAAATATTATATTAATATATGTACATACAAAAGCATACAAGTCCCACAGCTATGTAAACAGTTAATACATTCAAGACCTTCAATTCGGTGATGACTAACAGCAATGATGACTCAATATGCCACTTTTGTTTTCAGCAACAAGTGTATTCACTGTGTTGAAGCATTTCTAAATAATGCCAAATGTATTGCAGATAACATTGTTAACCAACTTCAAAAATGGAAGGCTACTAACAAAGATTATTATTTCAAAATCATTTCCTAGTGTCACTGTCCACTTTCAATTATTGTAATTATCTTTGGCAATGCCGGCAGTATTTAGATTTAAGTCCATGTTTCTTTTATTCAGATTTTTTTTTTTATAATTCTGCAATAAACAAATATTAATAAGTAATATTATGTTTTTATTACAAAAACCGCCATTGTGTCCCCAAAATGTTGTAAGAGGTGACTAGAGAAACATTGCACATATACTAGCATATGAGAAAAAAATTAAGCCCTATAGCAAGCCACATTAAACTTATTACAATCTGCCAAGTAACCTAGTATGGTGATAAAATGCTAATATGCTGTTATGGAGAAATTTGAACTGCTGGTTATTATAATGATAACCACTAATTTATAACTTAAAGGAGCTATAGTGGAGGAATGTAAGCATCCCTTCTTGAAACATCACCAAATTGCAGTTGGCAACCCACCTGCCAAGTGTGACAACTTCTGGAAAAACTATTTCTTTTATATCACTGAAGTGGTAAACAAGTATACTGCCCACCTGATGATAAGCAGTTAATTACCCCTTCTTATGGGTGAGACTATGTTCAGCAGTGGACAGTTAAAGGCTGATACAACAACAACTAGCTCATAATCTGTTTTTTTTTTTCAATATTTGGCATATTTAGTAACAATGTATAAAACAAATAAAGTAGGAATTTTTACAAAAAAAAAAATATGATATTGTTTTTTTTACAACACAGGAGGCAAATGAGCATGTAGCTCACCTGACGGTAAGTGACTACCACTGCCCATGATCACCCACAACACCAGTGGCATTGCAGGTGTGCTGCCGGAATTTTAAAAAAGAGTATGCTTTTATATTTAAATGTTTATATTCCATCACATTTTTTTATAACAATAACTGTTGTAAAAAAAAAAACAGATTATACTAATTTCATAATTAATTAAGAACTTTAGACAAATATACCATTCATTAACACACATTCAACAAATTCATTTCACAATAAAAGCATTACATTACATGCAAACATATATTATTACACCACAAACATTTATGGAATGAAAAATAGCTTGTTTAATTTTTTTTTATTATTTTTAAAATTACCTCTCTTTTAATCATGACAATAGGACACTATATTGGACAGAGAAAGATATGAAGGAGAAGAGGGGATTTTATTTTCATATACAATAAATTACCTATTATTTAAGTTTATATACATTTAATTTGCAGAGAAAAATAGGTACACACCACCACAATTATTTAAATATATAATTGATATAATTATATAAATTAAAAAAAAATATATAATAGCAGAAATTAATATCAACTCAAGATAATTGGTATACATAAGGGACTAAAACATAACTTTGTAAATATAATAATAAAACAGAGCATATTTAATCAAAAAAATTGTACTCATTTTTCAAAATATCTAGTTAAATGTATAATTCAACTTGTTGATATATTCTTTTCAAATTTTCAGGTAAATTCACTAATACCTTATCATATGATAACTATTTATTTGTATAAACATTATACAATTATATTTAATTAAATACCTTTTATTTGATTCTTTTATTTTTATATCATTTGGTAAATATAACTATTATAAAAGTTGTGAAGCTAATTAGCAAGACCTTGTGGATCAAGATTTTATAACTATAAGTAATGAATTTCATTATTAATTAAGGTTTAATTATAGTATTAACTAATGTAATAAAACCTGACCTGACATTATTTTTATTAAAATAAAATAATATAGCTTCTATTATTCATTGATAATGTAGCTTTCTAAAGGTAAAATTAATTTATATTTTTAAAATTTAAATTTTTTATTATATAAATTCGGTTAGATAAATTTCATTTACTGCAATGTATGAAAATATATATATATAATATTTACAAATAAAAAGGCTCTATATATTATATATATAAAGTATCTATATATTTGTCAAAATAGAATTTAAAGTAACTATTATTTATTATTATGTCTCCTATGAGGGAGACAATTTAGATAATAGCTAAAGATTTTAAATTTATGGGCCTATTTATTGTAATAAGTCAAAATCTTGAGTTTATGATAACACAAAAATGTTAATTTAATTACAATTACTGAAAACAACTGGCAATTGAAAATATAAAAAAAAAAAAAACTATAATCTATAAACTAAATGTAGAATTAATGTCTCATACTTTTCAATTTCTTAACATTTTCTCTGAATATGTGTATGTAACACAAATTTTTATAAGTCATATCAAATAATTTAAAATATGTAACTGGTTGATTTAAATGATAAATATAAGTGAATTACCTAATTAATATAAGATTTTGTTATATTTTTTTAACAACAATGTTACCAGTATGATTGACACAGGTACTTAAATATTTTATTACATAACTTATTTTCATTGCAGAGAACTCTAACAACTTTTCAATTTCCCTGATTTTTTTAATTTATATTTTTTTTAAGTAACATAAGATGTTCACTAATGACGTATTAGTGAACATTCTACGTTATTTAAAATATATATATATATGATATTTCTCATCATATATATATATTTTTTATATTTAACTATCATTCAATGTAAAATAAAAACATATTAGAATTTTATCAACAAGTTAGAAGATGAAGTAATAGTTTTATATTTTGAAAATTATTGATTTTGGTTAAGGCAAATTATTTTTAAACAAATACATATTTTAAGATTTACAATTAAAGAGGAATGTTACCAATTCGTCATTTATTAAAATGAAAGATAAACGAAAGAAATGTACTAGGAATTTTTATTTTTTAAGTGCCTACCAATTCCATTGTTTGTAAAATAGCGATTTGAACGTATTGACATGAAAAATTCAAACATTCAGAATTACCTAGTTAAATTACACGACAAGACCACGATGGGTAACTGCAGCCCTAGCCGTATTGAACAGTTCACTGCATTCCCAACCACCCACGCAACATACTCGGCCCACCTACGCTCAGTTACACAAAATCTATTACAATGCAACACTAACAACTGTATTTCACAACATATAAACATCAACGCGTACAATATTTCTTATTTTGTTCCTGTTACAGAACTAGAACGGAGAATAGTCAGCCATTATCGCGCACGCGATTCGATAAAAGGAAGCCATTCGAATAACGCCACGCGTTCGTGCCAACGAAAATATCGTGCACTACACCCTGATTCTTACCTTATTAAGGTTTATCTCTCAGGGAATATAAAACAATCCTTTTGGAATCCAGGATCCAACTGCAGGGAAACACAAATTGCACCACTTCACACAGTATTAATTCTATATTTTTGCACTTATTTCCAACGACAGCACATAACACAATAGAAACCGTCTTAATCACATTACAATACTACGTTACAAAATATCTTTATCGAGTGCTAAAGCCCGTTTTTGTGACTAAATTATCCCGATTGTACAAGAGGTCCACGGGAAGAGTATCAGTCTTCATACATCGTCGTGGAATGAATTCAGTTTCGCTTTTCGAACGAGTTTAGGCGTGACTGATCCGAAAAAAGCCGAACGCGAACGATTCGAAGCACAGTTTGCACAAGACAATCACTAGAGGCAGCACCATCGGCGTAATTCAGATGCGTTCAAATATAGGTATATTTAAAAACTTGCGTTCCTAACATTATAAAATGTAATTGCAACGCGCAATGTAGTAATTAGATTTTTATTTCAATTTTATAACAAATATAACAATAAGAATAATACAGTGGAATGATATTTTTATTGTTAAATGATAATTTTATTATTATTATATAATTTACATAATACTACTAAAGAAAGAATGAAATTATACACAATACCATAGATAAAGAAAAGTAACTTTTAAACTTCAGTTAAAAATTTAAATTTTATTCAATTTACTTATTAAAAAGTAATCTTTTAAACCACAATATTTATTAAATTAATCTTTCTAATACATTAATCGAAAATCGATTTCCAATTCGATAAAATATATAAATCGAAATATAATTATTAGATTTTTATAATTATATGTTATCTCGTATGGGTATTCCCTTTCTAGAGAATGAGTGTCATTTCCTGGGTATTTTTTTTTTATTCAACTAGATCTAAAACAAATAATGATTTTTGTAAAATTGATTTTTTTACGTGAACTTTGACATTATTTGATTTAAGATCGAACGATCCAAAAGACTAATAAATTTATGCATGTTAATAAAATTGAATAGGTTTAAATTATTTAAAAATCTTTCATTATTTTTAAATAAAATCTCAAGAGTGTAGCTTGAATACATTTTATATCACTCTTCTTATCTTATTTTTTCAGTAATGTTCTTTTTATTATAATATTGGTTTTCTTCTTATAGAAAGTATGCAAGCGGATTATATCTGAAATTGGTAGGGTTATACCGCTATATAACATTTTCTATACACTAGCCTGCTATGAATTAATAATTATATCACTCTTTCTATGTAGTTCCTTTTTCTTAGTGTCATACAGCTATATAACCCTACCAAATTCAGATACAACCTGCTCGAATACTTTCTACATAAACTGTGGCGAATATATAATCTAGTAATGTAAAATTTGTTATTGACAAATAATTGACATATCAAACTTAAGAACAAGGAATTACATAAAAGGAATGATAAAATAAAAACTGTAAATCATACGGTTGCCTCCTTTCTTCTTATGCAAATATAATTAGTAAAAAGAGGACAAAAGATACGACCTCAGTTGTTATTTATCTGAATTCATAGGAGGCTAGTGTATAGAAAATGTTTAAAATATCAAATATTTGACAATAACAAATTTTACATTACTAGATTCAACACAGTTTACGTAGAAAGTATGCAAGCAGGTTGTATCTGAATTTGGTAGGATTATACGGCCGTATAAAATTTTCTATACACTAGACTACTATGAATTGACAAGAATAGTAACTGATGGTGTATCTTCGATGTCTTTTTACTAACTATATTTGCATAAGAAAAAAGGAGGCAGCCATATGATTTATAGTTATTATTTTATAATTCCTTCTATGTAATTCCTTGTTCTTAAGGCTTAATATATGGATACAAAAAGTACTAATCTTTATTTATGTTGATAATGGGTAGATTATAGTAATACTACGTCTATGGTTAGATGCCCTTTTTATTTCCGTTGAGATCAAAGATTTCTAGTTCTTGGTTCAAAGAATTCTGAATAGAATGTTCTTAGTTATTGTTGTCGTTGTTTTAAAATTTGTCCAAAAGGGTCAGGCAAAGAGCATGGCCCGTACAGTCTAGTCATAAGTTGTTCTTGTTCTTAGATGGAGAGTAGCGAGGGTTGCCATCATAAAGTGAGTACAGTTAGGTAATCTATGGTAAGTCAAGTGACAGTGCTAGACGTCATTGACATTCGACGACATTGATAGATACGAGATGGTTGATTGTCAATGTTAAATAACTGGTACCAATCTTAGTTTTTCCTACACTTGTGATTAAAATTAATATAATTTACATTTAACTGTTTCGGACTATTTAAATAACATGGCTACATCCATGTTTAAATTATCTTCAGCTTTATTTAATTCATCTAAAAACTTTAGATGCGTTGTTCGCCTTGTTGATAAAGCGAATTTTTCTACAACGAGTATCGTAGCGGTAAGTTGCATAATCGATCTGTTACTAACTATATTCAGTTATAATATATCACTAAATTAATAGTCAGTGCTGTTACCTGTATAAATATGTTTACTTTATTATCTTCTAGTTCAATTTTATAAGATTTCTGCGTGAAATAATGGCAATAGTTGTTTAACACGGTCGTTTGTTATCTCGTCTTAATTACGACGATATTCGAAAAAATAAATGGAACGTACATTAAAAATTTCGAGAACGGTTTATTTATATGACAGATCTGAAAGTATTTTAAATTCAGACTAATTTAAGATGTAAATTCAACCTGATCAACACATTCATCAAGTTGACTACTCTCTCTGTACCCGCTACTTTGATCGCGTAATCTTGATATGTTGGTTGGAATAAATGCTAGCTTAAACCATTTATTATCTTCTAAGCTTGAAGTAGATGTTTCAGAAATGTATGAAAGTCTGTGCCCATTCAACATACTTTTTATAAAAAAGTAATCTGCAATGTATTTGAATTAAACTTACATAGATAGATAGATAGATATATAATTTATTTGCATCACTTACAGCACACAAATAACATTAGCTATTGGTACATACTAAAAAATATAGTGAATATAGTGTGAATTTACAGGGTACAGAGGAATAACACCTGAGTCCTTAGGAATGGCAATGCATGGAGGGTATCATGGGCGAAACAGTATACTGTGGTATGTCCATGATACTGCTCATGTCTATAGGCGACGGTTACCACTTTCCATCAGATGGGCTTGTTTGCCATTCTAAGTCTTATAAAAAAAAAACATACAAGTTTTTAAGTTAAACCATAACAAATACAACTGTGAAAAACATCATATTTTGTGGAATAGTTTTTGTGTGATATCAGAACAAATACATGGGTGCACAGACATTTCTAAAAATTTTTGTTTTGATACTTATAATAAGACTCCTCATATGAGTTTTCCTTAAATATTTCTCATGCACAGCATTCTCTAGTTACAATATTATTATATTATTAAAATAATTAACACATACGAGGTTTGTCCGGAAAGTACGTATAAAAGTTTTTTAAAAATTTTATTTTACAATTATTCAGGTAAATCAATTTTATCCCCTTCAAAGTACTCCCCCTGTGACATAATGCACTTGTGCCAACGCCGTTTCCACTGTGAGAAGGCTCCTTGAAAGTCCTCTGGTTGTAGGTTTCTCAGCTGCCCCGTCGTAGCTTTTTTTATCTCATTTATGTCCCCCAAATGCCGCCCCCGAAGTACCAATTTGGTTTTTGGAAACAAGAAGAAGTCACACGGGGCCAAATCCGGCGAATAGGGGGGGGGGGGTGTTCGGTCACCGTAATGGAATTTTTACTCAAAAACTCACGGACAACAAGAGAGGTGTGGGCAGGGGCATTGTCGTGGTGAAGAATCCAACGCCCCTCTCGCGCCAATTCTGGACGAACTCGTGCCACACGAGCTTTGAGGCGTCTGAGCACATCGACGTAGAATTTTCCATCAACTGTCTGGCCTGGAGGGACGAATTCTTGATGGACAATCCCCCGAACATCGAAAAAAACAATCAACATTGTCTTGACATTTGAGCGGGATTTTCCTTCACAGCATCATCCCCATAAACTGTTCTGAGATCGGCAAAAATTTCACGGCCATTCTTGCCGAGTTTCGAGAGAAACTTGATTACGACGCGCTGCTCTTCAACGGAAGCGGGCTCCATGCCGACGGGGTTTCGTTAAGAGGTAACTTCACAGATGGCGTGACAAGCCAGTTCGCACCGCACGGCGGTCAGACCAGAACTGAAGCATTGTTAGGGACATAAGGAAGGGGTCCTGCGCTTACCTGGCCTCCCCACTCCTCTTTCTCGCATTCCAGAACACTTTTATACGAACTTTCCGGACAGACCTCGTATATATTAAAAGTAATGTTTATGTATTATATGTGCATTTCTTATGTGTATATTATATTTATATTGTGTATTTCCTTAATGTGTTACTATAATTGTCACATATTTTTCACCACATCTGCCCTTCATACGCTTTCTGTTCTTACCCAATGATTAGCTGGTAGAGAATGCCATATGGCATAAGCTCGCCATTTGTACAAAATTTTATTGTGCAATAAAGAATAAATAAATAAATAATAAAAATTTATATACATGAAGTATCAGATGAAAAAGATATTGTTTATGAAGATTATTTTTGTGTTTAATTGCTGTTATTTGAATTATGATTCGAAGAGATATTCTCTCTCTCTCTCTGTCATATTTTTATGTATTATTAGTGTCTACAATAAAGTATTAAATAAATAAATATGATTCTGTTTATGTAAAACTTTAAATAAGTACATCAAGTAATAAATTATTTAATATTAATGAGTAGCTGATATCTACGGCAATTGCCTGGTGTATAAAGTAGTATATTCTGCGTGTATATATGTTATGGATCAAGTGAGGACATTATACAAAATGCCCAGGCATTATGAATAATTGCTAATTATATCGAATCAAGTGAATAATTATAATCCAAATTTTTTTTTTTTTATTTATTTAACACTTTATTGCACCAACATAACATGATTTGTTAAACAATGTTCAATACGTATAGTGTTGTACAAAAGGCGGTCTTATTGCTAAGCAATCTCTTCCAGACAACCTTTGGGCAGAAAGAATTAAAGCATAAATAGGTAGGTGGCATGTTAAAAAAATAGATTTGAAAAAAATAATATCTGTGACAACATAGTCATATACACATACATAAATAAACACATACATCCAAACATATACATATATATATACATACACACATAAATATATATACATACATATACATATATACGCACAAATACATACAAATATACCATACTAATACACATATATATAACACACATGAAACTGGAAATACATAGGACTAAGTGATTATAAGGATAGGTAGTGGGATTTAACTAAGTTTTTAAAAATGGGCAACGATTGAGCGCACCGTATAGAGGTAGGGAGTGAGTTCCACAAACGAACTGCTTGCACGGAAAAGGATTTGGAGTAGAAAGAGGAAGAATGAATAGGAATTATGAGTTGGAGGTTGTCAGTACTACGTAAAGAATAAGAATTAGAATTGCTCTCTCCAAGAAACATAAAACGTTCTTTTAAATAATGGGGTGTAAATTTAATCATTTATCACATTGTCTGGTTATTATGAATATTGCATCGTGACGATTGGGCAATTTGATAATAAAGCTACATTGGACTAGATGCGAGGACGTAAACAAACATGTGACATGCGGTGACCAATCAGAGATCGCAATGGCAGCATGCGGACTTCAAATACTCGTTGTTTTTGTTTTGCATTAAAAACGAATAGTAGCGGATGCGGATGAGTTTTATTTTAGCAATTCATTGTCGAACTACAGTGAAACACTTGTTAGTATTTGTTTAAGTAATTAATCGTGGATATATCAAGATTGAATAACATGAATTTATTAATTTATTCAATCTTTCGTAGTAGTTGCTAAAAGGATAAAATACTCAGTTTTTCACCAACAAAAGCTATACTGAGATGATTGAAAAAGTTTAATCTGCAATTTAAAAAAAATAGTACCAGCATAAGAAACCAAAAGATTATCAGCATTTACGAAGACTTCACGTCATAACGTTTATTTAGAGTTAACGTCAAAAATAATAGTAATGAAACATGTTTTTTATTACTCTGCCCTATATGTGATGGATATTATGTATAATATCCGGATAATTTAATTATTTGAATAGTTATCATCAAATTGTCATCTCGTAGTAGTCATTTTTCATAATGTTCGGGCATTATTTATAAATCACACATTAATCACTTTGTCCATAACATTACATAAAAACCGCGGAGCACAAATCATAAACTTCACAAAAAAATTTTGACAGAATATTTTTAAAAATTGCTTGAGAACTGAATCCGAACTTTGTTTACGGAAAGCAATATACCTATATATCAAAAAGGTAGTCAGACACTTTATTTTTTTTTTTCGTAATTAAAATTAAAAACAATTTGCTTGTGTTTTTGAGGATATATTATAGTATATATACGTTTAACTTAAAAATTGGTATAATATATATGAATAGCGGTTAAGCCTGCTGACGCGATATTCCGGCAAATTCTAAATCGATTTTATTCGATAGGTTTATTCCTTTGTTAGTTATTACTTTTAAAGTCTTTGTATTTTTTTTTTTTGTACAAGAAAACTTTGATTACTCGTATATCTTAAATTTTTTTAAAAGAGATATATTATTCTATTTTACTTCATTAAATGTATACAATATAGTATACTATATTTATATATTTTTTATCATTGTTTAAACTCATATAATTATATATTAATTTTGTTGTCATTAGTTCAAATAACGACGACGAAATTAAATAATGATAATTCCTATCAGGAAAATAATCTGATAGGAATTATCATATTTTTTTGTTGTTGACTGTATTATAATTTAGTAGGTAGATAGGTTCTACATTATGTAATAACTCCATAAGTTAAACAGTAAATTGATAACATACAGTAGGCATGTTACGGCCGTAAACCATATTCGAATCAGTCCTTCGTCTACTCTCAATACAAGCGGTTGATTTCGCGGTAAAAATATCTCTAAAGAACAGTGTAATTTGTAATAGATACAGCTAACTAACCAACAGTGGGGGATAGTAACCGGTCTGTCTCACGTCCAATAAGTTACTCTTTGCTCGATTTTGTCTTTAAAATAGACTGCACCGTTAGATTTTAGAATAGACTTAAAACTAATTGCGTTTAAAAAAAGAAAAAGTGACTGGCCGAAAATTATTTGGTTTTTAATCTGTACACTGCATAGAAGTGACTTTGGCGGGAACGTCGAGGTGACATTGAAATTTTAAAACTCGTTTTGTGTTTATTTTTGTGTAAATTGTTAATATTTACAATGGCGTGTTCCGTGTGTATGAATCCCGAGGGGAAACCGGTTAAAATGGTGAGTGCTGTAATAATATAAGTCTTTTATTTTTAATATGCCTTCACTATATTAATAATGCTAATTCATCTTGAAATTATGACACATTTGGGTCGATTCTAAAGTGCTGCTCTCTATACGCTATCAATAAATATTTGCGAAAGTGTTATGTTATATAGTAAATTTAAATATTTAGATAGATAAAAAGTAGCCTATATCCTCCATCAAAATACTATATGTGTACTTATACATATATCACAATAATAATATAATATAGTATATGTAATTTTATAATGATTGGTTAAGCCGTTAAGAAGCACAAACACGTTCACTTTTCCTTTATAATATTTGTAAAGATTAGAGTCAAAATTAAATTCAAATCTATTATATATTAAGTACATATTGTACTTTAGAATATTCCTATGAAACTATAATACATATTAGAGATAAGCAATAAATAACGCTTGAAAATAGACCTACTAATCCTATGGGAAATTACTCCATATTATTCAAGGAAATTATAACTTTTTATTAGTAAAATATTATTTGTAGTCGGTTCAGTTGTTTCAGAGATTACCTCATATATATGTACAGACAAAATTACCCCTTTTAGTGTTACTATACTCGCATAATGTAATGCAGATTACAAACGGTGATTTCATCATATTACAGGCCAGACAAACACGTTCTGTTTACACGATCGTAACAATTCTGACCAATTATTGTTATTGTTTTAATAAGCTAATAGATAGGTACTTAGATATTTCAAAAGTAACTTATTATTATTATCGTTCACATGATAAAATCCCGAGTAAGTGATAGATAAATGTGAAGTACAAGTGTATTGTGTAGTTTAAAACTTGTCTATTTTCGTAAAAATGTTTTGATATTAGCTATTAGTTTTTGTTTAAAGGGTAACAAGATCTTTGCAAATTTTATGCATTTTTTTTTAAGATTATGATTTACAATTTTAATTTATTACGATACTAATCTATGTCTATATTAATATTATAAATAGGAAAGATGTGATTGTATGTTTATTTGTAATGGATAAACTCAAAAACTACTCAACCGATTTTAAAAATTATTTCACCTATAGCAAGTTATCGGACAATAACATAAGCTGTAACATAACGTTTTATCTACCCGCGTTAAGCCGGACCGAATTGCTAGTTTTGGATATATTATTTACATAAACTTTTTCGATTTATATAACGTACATATGTATATATAAAATATACATGAAAAACATTTGGAATTATCGTGGGCAAGTTTATTTATTAAACAACATTAAAATGTATGTTTTTAATTAAATGCACTGCATATTTTCGTCAATTTTGAATTAATTTTGATGTTTATTTTTCAATGTAAATATAAGTTGCAGATTTATTTTGTAAAAGTACTTGTCTGAAGGAGGAGGTTCTCGATTCATCTGTATTTTTTTTGTATACATGTATGTTAAATCTTCCTCAAATCCCATATTCATTGTGTCACGATTGAAGTGACTTTTTTTTACTGTATCATCGTCTCAGCCATTATCTTTCCACTGCTGTGCGCCTCCCCCGCCGGCCAGTCGAAATATTTTTTTCTTGGGATGAAATTTTAAACTGCGTACGTGTGTTCAATAGGGCCGATTATGGGGCGCCATTTGTCTAAAGCTGTTTTTTTTTTTAAACTTGTTGCAGTCCCGGACCACCCACTGAACTCTGTCAAAAACATTTACACTTAGGCCCTAAAATTAAAAGTTTAAAGGCTTTTTTATATATATTAAAAAAATATACTTCTATTGGTAGTTTCAATGGATTCCATTGAATTCGCCGCCTGACGATGACATTTACGTATATTTAGAGAAATGTCGCCTCAGAATTGGCGTTGGTATTGAAAAAATAATAGACATTTATCGTTCTTTAATATCCATGTTGCAGAGAAAGGAACGTGACACATTTGGAGAATTAGATGTGCCAGATGACAAGTTGTATGGCGCGCAGACGGTACGCTCTGTTATGAACTTCCCCATCGGTGGCATCGAGGAACGCATGCCGGTAAATATATTTACTATTTTTTTTTTATTATATCAGTCATCAAATGCATTGCATGAGAGGAGGCATGGGCATCACAGTATATTCTGTAATATCCATGCTACAGTACGTGTCTATAGGCGGCGGTTACCATTTACCATCAGGTTGGCCGTCAGTTTGACTATCATTGCACGTTGCATACAAAAAAATGCATATTTATGGATACCCAGTAACGCGAATTGCTTACCTACTCATACTACTATTTCTGCTTAGTTTAGGACTAGATGACGTTGTATATCATCATCATCGAATCAGCCGTTAGCTGTCCACTGCTGGTCATAGGCCTCCCCCATAAGAAGGGTTTTGCCAGTAGTTGCCACGCTTGGCCCGCCTGGGTTAACAAGCGCAGTTAGATTTTGGTAAACTTTAAGAGGGTCGCTGCTGCCCATTTTCAATTATTTAGTTCCCTTAGTAAAAATATCTATTTTAAACGAATTACAACGGCATTTATGCTGACATACTGATTCATGAAAAGTGGGAACCGTCGACTATACACATAAACAGCATCGGTGACTATCACAGAGTGCTGTGTCGCTCATGGTATCTATTATGTGTTGCAATTCCTGAGAACTATGGGGCAATACTATTTCTGTAATTTCACTGCCATATGGCACCCTTCAAATAGAAACACTTATGCGAGTACAGCTGTTTGGCGATAGAAACTTGAGTGTATAATGTCTCCCTCTGGTAAATATTGTGAATGCAACATTTTACTCAACGTTTATAATTTATCATAATAATTACTTTAGTACCTATGTATATCGTAATTATGTATGTATATCGAATTAGTAAAAATTTTTTTTCGCAATTTGACATTGTAAACAAGCTGACGATCAACCTGATGGTAAGTGGTAAATACCGCCTGCATGTTTAGAACATGCACAACAAATGCATACATTTTTCATGAACATGCAAATATGGAGTATGCAACTAAGGCGCTTTTAATTTCTGTACACGTACGCGATATCATCAAGAAGGTACTTTGACATCAAATCCTCGTGTTGGAAGGTTTAAGAACGTGCGAGTAATGACTAATGTCTAGTTTAGCAAAAATGGTCATCATAGGTTGCTGACTACTTCATTTTTTTTTATGCATCTTAGAATGGCAAACAAGCTGACGGCCCACCTGATGGAAAGTGGTAACCGTCGCCTATAGACATGAGCAGTAACATGGACATAACAGAGTATACTGTTTCGCCCATGATACCCCCCATGCGTTGCCATTCCTAAGGACTCGGGTGTTATTCCTCTGTACCCTGTAAATTCACGTCATATCCCACCCTTCAAACTGAAACACAGTCATGCAAACATAACTGCTTCATGGTAGAAACACGAATGGGGCACAGGTATCCAAGCAAACGACTTTTGTACAAAGTCTAATTATGTCAGATTAGCCAAGTGTATTTTAGTTAGATTTATGGGAAAATCACGTCGGGGTCACCAATTATGGGAAATGAGTAAGTAAAATATTTAATCCAATGTTCAAACGTCTATATATTTAAAAAGAATGACAATTTTCAATTTATTTTGCGCGCGCAACCTCGCATACGCTCTGTTATTCATCATTTATTTTTCTACAGAAATTAAAAAGGTTTAGTTATATATAAAGGTTTGTTATATATACAATATATATACGCCACAGATTGTATAAACAGGAAGTGTATTTTGAGTACAAATCATTGGGACATTTAATCAATTTGGTATATAATATTTCAAAATTTAAAAACTTTGGCAGTCTGTTGTCAATGCTTATCCCGCAAGGTACTTGGCGTATATTAACACGAATGTTCTACGAACGTTATTCCCAAAGAAGCAGTAGAAACACGGCAAAAAGTTTTGAGCCTCCAAACTAATATACTTACTACAATTAAATTAAATGGGAAAGTTTTTTTCAACCGACTTGAAAAGGAAGGAGGTACTCGATTCGGTTATAATTTTTTTTTTGTTTGTTACCTAATAACTCCATCAAATTGTTCTAATATTGCAAGTGCGAAAAATTTAATGTTTATTAAAACTTCTATAATGCCTGATCTTGAACACTTATATTTTCAATTTCACTAGTAGAACATTCGTACAAAAGTATATAATAATATTATATGTACATAACAATTTATGCACAACAATTGTGCCATTGAAAGTGCGTTAGTATTAGAGTTAATTCTATGGAAACCCTTGAACGACTTTCTAAAGGTTGAATTCCGATTTATTTCCAACCAGTTACGCAATCAGACCCGTATACTCGACTCGTACCTATTAAATCCCAAGGTAGAAAGTACATGTGACCGCATAACGTATGATATCATATCGCACCGCTGTTTATCTAACGTTGATAGTAATTGTGCATTGACCGGACGTTTGTGTGTAATCAGAGGCCTCATATGCATTTGCGTGGTACTTCTGTCCCACACTATTTGCAGGGTTGGGTATTTTTTTTCTTTAATTGGGGATAATTTAATGATAACCCCGCCTGTGCTATTGGTTTACACTGGCGGGGTATTAGTGAGTGATGATAGGTGACGATGAAGTAGGTCAGTTAGCCCATCGTGACGAATTTAACAAGAATTAGCCTAGATGGTTTCCACGGGGAACCACTTGGCAGTCGACCGGATAGGGTATATTGCTAGCAATAGGAAGGATTGGGTATTTTTTTTTGATGGGTGAAAATGGTATGGTAACCCCGCCTGTGCTAACGGAATACGCTGGCGGAGCACCAGTGAAGAGTGATAGATGAGAATGTAAACAGGCCAGTTAACCCATCATGATAGTTTCCAGGGAGAACCGTGAGGAGGTCGACCTGGTTGGGTATTTTGCTAGCAATAGGATGGGATCTCAGTCTCCATTACTAATAATCTCTTTCCCCCCGAGTTGGGTATTTCAGTTTGGACAGTGGGATATGGTAGTGAAATTACAGGGTACTGAGACGTGTCAGTCTCCAGGAATGACAACCCTTGAAGGGAGAATAAATATTGTTTGCCATTTTTTTTATACCACTGAGGTGGCAAACAAGCATACGGCCCACCTGATGGCAAGTGGTTACAGTAGCCTATGAACACCTGCAATACCAGTGGTATTCCGCGTGCGTTGCCAACCCTGAAGAAACTTCTTTACCCCCCTTTCGAAAAAAATAATATACTGATAGCTAGATAATATACATGCATTAATGTCAATTTAGATTAAACAAAATAAACAACAATTTAAAATATGGTAAAAATAATAAGAAGTCCGTCTAGTTATATATTATAATAGTTATATCAATCTGATCAATTATTTGTAAGTCATGTGTGAAACCTTTCTAAACTATATCTTTCAAAGTAAAACCTACTGAACAATATATTTAAACTTACATTTTTTTTATACAACTTAGAATGGCAAACAAGCTGACGGTCCACCTGATGGAAAGTGGTAACCGTCGCCTATATACATGAGCAGTACCGTAGACATAACAGAGTATACTGTTTCGCCCATGATACCCCTCTGCGTTGCCATTCCTTAGGACTTAGGTGTTATTCCTCTGTAACCATGTCCCACCTTTATTTACAACCTTTGCACCAGGCGTGCTACCATTCTAATTCTACTTAAACAAAGTCGCGTGCTAAGCTAACAATGGCATCCTTATTTTCAGTACCCGGTGATCGTTGCATTCGGTATATTGAAGAAGGCTGCCGCAAAAGTCAACATTGAGTATGGTCTCGACAAGAAAATTGGTAAGTTTGTGTTAAAAATTATATTTCTTACTGCCTTCTAAAAGAGGAAGACCAAGACCCAGAATAAGCTACATGGGGCAGATAAAGAAATACTAGGTGTCATGTCGTATAGGGAGGTCAAGGATATGGCCTGGGATAGAGCCGGATGGAGGAAGATGCATGAATTTGTTGCACCGACTAGAGGAAACTCCTAAATGAAAAGAAAAGAAGACTACCTTTTAACCGCAACATAATCCATGCCCTTTGATCGAGGTAATGTTGATTGCCCTGTAAAAATAGCCTATGTCCTTCTCCGTCGCCAATAATACTAGTAAACCAAATTTTATAATGATTAGTTCTTTGTACTAAGATGTAATAAATACTCTTTCACATTATAATCTTAATAAGGACAATATACTACAATATATATATATATATATATATATATATATATATATATATATATATATATATATATATATATATATATATATATATATATATATATATATATACTGACTTATGAGGTAGCAAACGTAAAAAAGTCAGTCAAGTGCAAGTCGGATTCGCATAACGAGGGTCCCGTACAAAATTATCAAGTAATTTTTTTTTGTGTAATAACTACTTTACGGTTTTCGGATTTTTTCATTGCTTGTCAAATTTCATGATTCTAAGTAAACGGGAAGTACCCTATAGGTATTGATTCCCTTTGCGAATGTCAAAGTAAGCGATATAAATGGAACATAAACGGCCGTATCTTTTGATTGCGTCGATTTAGAATCTTGACGTTTTCACTGCTTTTAAGAGATTGCAGACCTGTGTATATGATATTAATTTCAACTAGATACCTCCACGCGTACCTAAGAAAAAGGGTCTTAATAGACGGAAGGACGGACAACGAAGTGATCCCATAAGGATTCCGTTTTTTCCTTTGTAGATATGGAACCCCAAAAAAATAAATCGAATCAAGAACCTCCTTCTTTTTGATGTTAGTGGATAAAATAGAAAATGGCGTGCAACTATGGCCCAGGCACAAGGAAAGAATGTCAAACGAAAAGTTAGGATAACGACAATGTCATAGGTTAATTTTTATCCGGGTCACGGGTAAAAACTAAAAATTAATATCTGAATATATGTTACTTCATTTCATTTACAATCAGGTACAATTGACTGTCTCTAAGCCAAGGTTGGCACTAATGTAGTATGCTTTGTTCACAGCGGAAGCTATAATGCAGGCGTGCGAGGACGTCATATCCGGCAAGCTGTACCGCGAGGGCCACTTCCCGCTCGTCATCTGGCAGACGGGGTCTGGTACTCAGTCCAATATGAACACCAACGAGGTCAGTTTTTTTTTTGATGGATGAAAATGGTATGGTAACCCCGCCTGCGCTAACGGGATACGCTGGCGGAGCACCAGTGAAGGGTGATAGATGAGAATGAAAACAGGCCAGTTAGCCCATCATGATGAATTCATCAGGAATTAACCATGATAGTTTCCAGGGAGAACGGCGAGAAGGTCGACCTGGTTGGGTATATTGCTAGCAATAGGATTCTCAGTCTCCATTACTAACAATTTACAGGGTACAGAGGAATTACACCTGAGTCCTCAGGAATGGCAACGCATGGGGTGTATCATGGGCGAAACAGGATACTCTGTTATGTCCATGCTACTGCTCATGTCTATAGGCGACGGTTACCACTTTCCATCAGGTGGACCGTCAGCTTGTTTGCCATTCTAAGTTGTATATAAAACAAAAAAAAAGTAATACTTTTCGAAATCAAAATAAATGGTTTTGCCACAATTGAAGTCTTTTTTGTGTTATGATAATATACACGCGATGGAGGGATAAGGGATTGTTAGTAATGGGATCAAAAACTCCCATGGCTAGTAATATATCCTATAAGTTTTGTTGAATTCGTCATGATGGTTCAACTGCCTTTCTTCCATCCTTACCTGTCATTTCACACTGGTGACCCGCCTGTGTATACAATTTTTCTTTTATGCAACTTAGAATGGCAAACTAGCTGACAGTCCACCTGATGGAAAATGGTAACTATGCCTATATAGACATGAACAGTACCATAGACATAACGGTGTCTGTCTGTGTCGCCTATAATACCCCTAATGCGTTGCCATTCCAGAGGACTAGTGTTATACCTCTGCACCCTGTAATTTAACTGTGATATCCCACCTTTTAAATAGAAACAGCCATGCAAACACAACTGTTTCACGGCTGAAACACGGATAGGACAGAGGTGCCCAAGCAAACAACTTTTGTACAAAGTCTTCCTTTGGTAAACTTTAAAAAAATACATTTCCAGGTCATATCGAACCGCGCTATCCAAATCTTGGGCGGTAAACTGGGCAGCAAGGACCCGGTGCACCCCAACGACCACGTGAACAAGTCGCAGAGCTCCAACGACACGTACCCGACGGCCATGCACATAGCGGTGGCCATGGAGCTCCGCGACCGCCTCATGCCGGGGCTCGTCGCGCTGCGGGACACGCTCCTCGCCAAGTCCAAGGAGTTCGATAAGATCATCAAGATTGGCCGGTGAGTAATGGACCATGTAAACCAGGGGTTCCCAAACTTATTTTGTCTACTGAGTTCTGACCATTTTGTGTTACTGTGGCGCATTCACGAGAAATTGTGTAACCTCTTTTATGTTTAGGGGGGAAGGGATTGCTAGTTATGAGTAAGTTAGTCCCATTGCTATCAATATATCCTATCAGGTCGATCTCCACGCGGTTTCTCCTGGAAACTATCGTGACCAATTTATCATTGAATTCGTCACGATGGACTAACTGACCTGCCTTTTAATCCCCACCTATCACCTCTCACTGTACCCCGCCAGTGTATACAGATAGCGGTGGAGTTACTATGCCATTTTCACCCATAAAAAAACTCTTATGTACTTTTTTTTGTAGTATATGTTTTGTTTGATTTCCTTAAATATGTGCACCAGTAGCTTATGTTATTTGTGTGCGATAAGTGATGTAATTGAATTATATATCTATCTATATATTTATTTATTTATTCATAGGAAAACCAGGGCTACACTACAGCAAATAGATACAGTTTTAGGATAACAAAATAAGCCACTAAAAGGTTTTCACAAGTAGCAACAGTATAGATACAAGGCGCTGTTCACAAAGCAACAAAAATTGGAGTTAACAAGAAAAAATTAAATATATATATATATATATATATATATATATATATATATATATATATATATATATATATATATATATATATATATATACTAGCTGACCCCGCAAACGTTGTTTTGCCATATACATTATTTCTAGAAAATAGTTTTTTTAGTTCAATTAAAATTAGCTAATACTATGTCGTAAAAGGGTAAATAGATCGTAAAAGGGTGAAAATTTGAAGTTGTATGTATTTTTCAATGCTAAATCATATTTAAATAAAAATAACAAAAATTGTCAAAAAAAAAAAATAAAAAAGAAATTTATGGGTGGGTCACCCTTATCATTGAGGGGTATAAAAAATAGATGTTGGCCGATTCTCAGACCTACCGAATATGCACACAAAATTTCATGAAAATCGGTTAAGCCGTTTCGGAGGAGTTTGCTAACAAACACCGTGACACGAGAATTTTATATATATATATATATATATATATATATATATATATATATATATATATATATATATATATATATATATATATAAATGTATCACTTTCCCCCCACCACTAGAACCCACTTGATGGACGCGGTGCCGCTGACGCTGGGCCAGGAGTTCAGCGCGTACGCGACGCAGCTGACGTACGGCATGGAGCGCGTGTGCGCCACGCTGCCGCGCCTGCACTACCTGGCGCTGGGCGGCACGGCCGTCGGCACCGGCCTCAACACGCGCGTCGGCTTTGCGGAGAAGTGCGCTGCCGAGATCGCCGCCCTCACTGGTATGCGCTCCTAGTACATTGCGAACATATTCAGCTCGATTTGATAGTAAAAAACGCCCGCTGATATATCATCATCATCATCACCGTCATAGTAATCATTTTATGCAACTCAGAATGGCAAACAAGCTGACGGTCCACCTGATGGAAAGTGGTAACCGTCGCCTATACACATGAGCAGTACCATGGACATAACAGTGTACTGTTTAGCCCATGATACCTCCCACGCGTTGCCGTTCCAAAGGATTCGGGTGTTATTCCTCTGTACCCAGTAAATTCACTGCCATATCTCAACCTTCAAACCGAAACACAGCCATGCAAACCCAACTGCGTCACGGTAAAAACACGAATGGGATGCCCAAGCAAACGACTTTTGTACAAAGTGTCTCTCTGCTATACTATAAAGACCACCACTTGGGATCCACTTCATCAAACATTTCTCAAGTGAATTTTGTCTGTAAGGGGAAGATTTGCCAGTAGTTGCCACGCTTGGCAAGCGAATTTGTAACTGCAATTATCCCTCTAATATAATAGTTTAAATTTCAGGTATTCCCTTCGAGACAGCACCGAATAAGTTCGAAGCGCTCGCATGCCACGATGCGCTGGTGGAAGTATCCGGAGCCTTGAACACGGTGGCCGTGTCGCTGATGAAGATCGCCAACGACATCCGTCTGTTGGCCTCGGGCCCCCGCTGCGGGCTTGCCGAGCTGCTGCTGCCTGAGAACGAACCTGGATCCTCTATTATGCCTGGTGAGATCTTAATAACTTAACTAGAAACTTAATAACTTAACAAGAAACTTAACTTACTAAACTTAATAACTTAACAAGAAACTTAATTTACTAAACTTAATATCTTAATCAGAAAATTAACTTACTACACTTAATAACTTAACAAGAAACTTAACTTACAAAACTTAATAACTTAAAAAGAAACTTAACTTAATAACTTAACAAGAAACATAACTTATTAAACTTAATAAATAATAATAATAGAAATAAGTTGTGACTTTCGACCTTCTACAGGAATTATAATAAAAGGTATCTAAAGTATGGCTTATTTTGTTTGCCATTCTAAGTTATATAAAAAAAAATAGTACGTGTATAATAAATTTTATAGTAATTGGGTAAGCTGTTAATGCACTAACAGGTAACAAACCAACTTACTATTCCATTTATATTTTTTTTTTAATGAACGACAATGGAATGGTAAACCCACTTGCGCTAACGGTATACGCTGGTGGGGCAATTTTTTAATATTATAAGCTGTTATCTGTCCACTGCTGAACATTCCTTCCAGGCTTCCCAATAAGGGGAGTTTTGCCAGTAGTTGTCACACTTGCCAGGCGAATTGGCAACCGCAGTAAAGCTTTGGTGAACATTTCAAGAGGGACGCTGCTGCCCATCCCTCGACGACTGAGTCTCCTTAAGTCGCCTCTTTCGACATCCACTCGAAAGAAAGGAGTGGCCCATTTTATGCTGGGACCACACGCCGTTTTTATAATATTAGCAGAGATTATTAATATACAAGAATTTACATGTGCCTCCAATCAAACAGTTTATAATTACTCCTTTCCATCTAAAGGTTGGCTGGAAGAGATCGCTCTCAGCGATAAGGTCGCCCATTGTTTTCTCATTGTGATTATTTCTTGTAATTGTTTATATTTATAATAAGTTTACTATTGTAATCTTTTGGAGGAAACAATAAAGAGTGTCTATCTATCTATTATTAACATGTATTCTTGCAGGCAAAGTGAACCCGACCCAGTGCGAGGCGCTGACGATGGTGGCGGCGCAGGTGATGGGCAACCACGTGGCGTGCACGGTGGGCGGCAGCAACGGACACTTCGAGTTGAACGTCTTCAAGCCCATGATCGTCGCCAACGTGCTGCGCTCTATCAGGCTCATCGGTCAGTGTTTTTATACAATGCTATTTGTCTATCTATCACCAGAGGGAGACTTTGTACAAAAGTCGATTGCTTGGGTATCTCTATCCCATTCGTGTTTCAACCGTGAAGCAGTTGTGTTTGCATGGCTGTGTTTCGGTTTGAAGGGTGGGATATGTCGTGAATTTACTGGGTGCAGAGGAATAACACCTGAGTCCTCAGGAATGGCAATGCATGGGGAGTATCATGGGCGAAACAGTATACTCTGTTATGTCCATGGTACTGCTCATGTCTATAGGCTACGGTTACCACTTTTCATCAGGTGGGCCGTCGGCTTGTTTGCCATTCTAAGTTGTATAAAAAAAAATATCTTTACCCGTATCCCAATCACTACATGGGGTCGTAGTAATATGTTTGTCATCCATATTACAAAAAGATTTGGCTTAGTTTTACGACGGTTTTTTTATACGACTTTATATTTTACATGAATATATATTTTCTATTTCCTTTTTTTTCCCACTTTTCCAAATTAGGATTTTTTTTGATGGGTGATAATGCAATGGTAGCCCCGCCCGCGCTATCGGTAAACACTGGCGGGGCACCAGTGAGGGATGATTGGTGAGGATGAAATGGCAGGTAATTTAGCGCATCATGACGAATTGAACGGTAAATTAGTCACGATGGTTTCCAGGGGGTACCGCGTGGAGGTCAACCTGATAAGTTATATTGATAACGATGGGGACAAAACTCTCCGTTACTAATAATCCTCAAAATGAGGATTGGTTATTGGTAATAACAGAGTTGCCGCAGTTTCATATGCCTCATCAACATATATTGTCTTTCTCCATCCCATATACTTGGGTATATCAAAATTTTGTATAACTACATTGGTGTAGTTAAACAAAATTTTATGGAGATTGATTGACCCGGAAAAGTAAACGGCCTTTACCATCACTTATCAACTCTCATTGATATTAAGCCAATGATAAAATTTTGATTCAAATAACGTGGCCATATAGTTTTAACTTATCCACAGAGGCAGTGGTTGTCAGAATTGTCTTTAATCAGGGATCATTGTGAGAATCGAGGCCTATAAAATCAAAGACAGCTAAATCCAAGTCTGTCAAATGTTCAGGAAACTAGAAAAACTAATATTTGGTCAAGGATATGAAACGATTGAAAAAAAATTAGAATATTAATAATAATTTGTATTTTAATTAATAGAACTCTCTCTGTATTTGAGTACAGAGTGAAAATTGAACGATTTTATAGCGTTTAGCTGCCTTTTTTATTTATTTATTTACAAGAAACATGGTAAGTGTATAGATGTTACAATAAGTCCTCATATTTCGCCATAATTAGGCACACAAATATTAAAACTTAAATTTGATTTTATAGGCCTCAATTGATACATTATTTTTTTTGTGATTTCACTAATAATAAAACTGATTTTTACAATGAAACAATGAATTAATTAGTAAATATTTATAAATTTGTATTATGATCTGAACATAGGACTTATACTTTTTATACAGTGACACCGTTCAAATTAATTAAATTAAATTAAAATAATAGTTAAATAAAATCTGTCCACCAAGTGTATTTCTAATTTATAAAAATAAATACTTTTTTTTGTTTATATAATTACTTTTTTATACACCAGGTGATGGCTGCCAGGCGTTCAACAAGAACTGCGCAGTGGGCATCAGGGCGAACGAAGCGCAAATATCCAAGATCATGCGCGAGTCGCTGATGCTGGTCACCGCACTCAACCCGCACATTGGTTACGATAAGGTATTGTACCATAATAAATTAAGATTTCAACGCAAAAAAAATATTAATTGTTTATTTATTTATTTATAGGAACACCAACAGCATAATGCATTATAACATAATATATAAAAATACAATTTTTTTTTATACAACTTAGAATGGCAAACAAGCTGACGGCTCACCTGATGGAAAGTGGTAAACGTCTCCTATAGACATGAGCAGTATACATGATACATGGTTTCGCCCATGATACATGGGCGAAACAGTATACTCTGTTATGTCCATGGTACTGCTCATGTCTATAAGCGATGTTTACCACTTGCCATTCTAAGTTGTATAAAAAAAAAGATGAATGTTTGTTACTCTTACACAAAAACTATTAAACGGATTTGAACCAAATATTTTTATTTATATTTTCAAATTTGTTACATAGACATTTAATTAAAATCTAGTTCAGTACTTGAGTTATTAAATTATTAAAGAAATATATATATTTTTTAAAGCAATTTGTCAGATTCGCTCTTAAACTTACCTGATGCAAAATGATAGAAAGATCTAAGACGAAATGTGTTTACTGTCTTTATACGAGGTCTGTCCGGAAAGTTCGTATAAAAGTGTTCTGGAATGCGAGAAAGAGGAGTGGGGAGGCCAGGTAAGCGCAGGACCCCTTCCTTATGTCCCTAACAATGCTTCAGTTCTGGTCTGACCGCCGTGCGGTGCGAACTGGCTTGTCACGCCATCTGTGAAGTTACCTCTTAACGAAACCCCGTCGGCATGGAGCCCGCTTCCGTTGAAGAGCAGCGCGTCGTAATCAAGTTTCTCTCGAAACTCGGCAAGAATGGCCGTGAAATTTTTGCCGATCTCAGAACAGTTTATGGGGATGATGCTGTGAAGGAACCAACCGTCCACAAGTGGCTAAAAAGATTCAGAGAGGGCCGAGAAAGCGTTCAAGATGACCCACGTTCAGGACGTCCTTCCACTTCACATTCCGACGAAAACGTGGAAAGAATTCGAACTTGTGTTAATGGGGACCGTCGTTTAACGGTCAGACAGGTGGCTGAAGAGCTTAATTTGGGCAAAACCGTGGTCCACGAAATTCTAAGAAACGAACTTCAAATGAAAAAAATTTGCGCCAAGATCGTTCCGTGAGTTTTTGAGTAAAAATTCCATTACGGTGACCGAACACCCCCTATTCGCCGGATTTGGCCCCGTGTGACTTCTTCTTGTTCCCAAAAACCAAATTGGTACTTCGGGGGCGGCATTTGGGGGACATAAATGAGATAAAAAAAGCTACGACGGGGCAGCTGAGAAACCTACAACCAGAGGACTTTCAAGGAGCCTTCTCACAGTGGAAACGGCGTTGGCACAAGTGCATTATGTCACAGGGGGAGTACTTTGAAGGGGATAAAATTGATTTACCTGAATAATTGTAAAATAAAATTTTTAAAAAACTTTTATACGTACTTTCCGGACAAACCTCGTATCTAAAATTTATTTATTAATTCTATTCTAGGCTGCACAAATAGCGAAGACGGCGCACAAAGAAGGCGGCACCCTAAAGGACACAGCTATCAAACTAGGCATCCTAACGGCGGAACAGTTCGACCAGTGGGTGCGACCGGAGGACATGTTGGGGCCCAAGTAAAGTGGTTGACAGCGCGACGTTGCGATATCAGCCGATCTTGTTTATAATCATAAAAAAAAACATTTCTCAGATTACCGCTACTGTATATTGTTCATTCTATTTTTGTCTAATTATTATTATTATTTCTAATCTAAGTTTCAACAATACTGAACTCGCAGAACATAAGTTATCTCGCACTTGACTTTTAAAATATGTATTGTATTATAAAGTTACATGTTGTTTATTATCACACACTACTCTGGAACGCGCTTCCTGATACCATTAACTACCAACTAAACCGTCTTGAAAGAAAAAACGTTCATGCTCACTTTTTTACTTTATCCGAACAGTAAGTACTTTATATTATTCTCAATTTCGTGTATAATGTAGTATATGTCATATATGTGTAAGTATATTTGTTATTCATATATATTTATTCGTTTATATATGTAATTTTAGTATGTATGTATAACAATAATCACTAGTACCGCATTCGAGTATTCTGACACTTCCCTATGGTTGACTGGGAGACAATGCTTTTAGCATTAAGTTCGCCATGTACACATATTTGTACTAATGAATAAATAAATAAATATTTTAATACCAATTCGACATTTTTAACTTCGGTACGTACATATATTACAATGGTCTCATAAAGGTGGGCAGAATCAATTGAATGAAATAAATAAATATATTTATTTAAATTTTAATGCACAATTGTATAAGTAAATGTACATATGGCGGACGTAACACCTAATGGCGTTCTCTACCAGGCAATCAGAAAATTAAGTAGGCGGTGCATTTACTACTAAAATATGTATAAATTTTGTTACTACATATTACATATATACATCCATAGATATATCTTATTCATACTGTCATTTAATCTAATTTTATATAAAATGGACTCAGATTGGTCACTCGAATATGCTTAAAATGTACAATATTTCTTTCAACTTTTGAAATTTTAGAGGTATACAATTGATTTTTTACTTCTTTCTAAAGTTTTGTACGTTCTTACAATAAATAATGAATTATTATTGAAAAAATTAACAGTATGTGATATTGTTGTCATATTAGATTAATTAAAAGTTTTACTCGATCAACGAAGAACTGTTTGATTTACTACTTATATGTTTGAAACTGGGAGAATGCTGAATTTTATATAAACATTTGAATGTATAGTAATAATATTTCATTGGTAATAAAAGAATATTTCCCTTCTCTATAGAGAAGATTTCTAAGTACTGATGCAGTAGGAACATCGCAACGGATATGCATTTACGTTGCACAATAATTAACACGAGCATTGTAAATAATATTATAGTTAACATAGCTATTTTATTATGTTTATTACTTGTTTTGTATAATATTTTTGGTTTAAAATTGAATTGTTAAATTATTTATATTAGATTGTTTGCTATGTTAATCTTATTAATTAAAACATGTGAATATTATTGTGTGGTTTCATTATTAGTATTATTTCTGTGTTCTATATATAGCCAATGGCAAAATCTTCAATGTTATTGATATTATATCTAAGTAGCGTAATTTTAAGAATGAATTATTGAGAAAATTATTTTTAGAATGGCCGTGCTACTCTAGTTTATAGATTTTTTTATACTATTACTAGCGACCCGCCCTGGCTTCGCACGGGTGCAATGTTGATACCAAATATACCTACCTACTACAGAATGTCCTTATAAACAATGTTTACAGCTGTTTTGTTATTTGAAAATACAAACATGATAAAGTGCTATAGAGCGAAGTGTGGCCTTCGACGCGCTGTTATATTGGCACGCGCCGCCGGCCTGGCCAGTACCGCCGCACTGCTATGTCCCTGCATTTTAAATACTAATTAAAATCAACATTCTGACAAATCACATGATGGAGGGTGGCGCTTATCCAACAGACCCATTACTAGCTATATACCCTAACAGGCCGACCTCCACGCGGTTCTCCTGGAAACTATGGTGGTTAATTTTTAATGAATCATCGTGATTGTTTTATTGTTGAATTATTATCGTAATGAATACACCTGGAAATCAGCACGATGGTTTCCAGGGGAACCGCGTGGAGATCGACCTGACAGGGTATAATACTAGCACTGGGACTGGTAACCCGCATTACCAACGATCCCTTCCCCCCACGCTGAGAGGCTTGTAAGGTTATTAAAATAAAATTCATGAAAGATGCTTCATCTACATTATATTTTATCTATAATAATTGTTTTACATGATTTGCACAATACAAATACGTTTGGTAAAATCTTTGGTATATTTTCAATTTGATAAGTAATTTATTTATCACACCATGCCATTATAATATTTATGACTACACTAAATCAAAACTACCCAAGTGGAATGAATTTGGAACGTACTATAATCAAGAATAAAAAAAGTATATATAGTTTAGAAAGTTTAGAATCATAGAAGATTACATTCAAGTTAAGCTCTTTTTATGTGCTCAATCGTAGAATTCAATTTTAAGAGAATGAGAATTATATTAATTATAATTCTCATGTTTTGAGTACAATTATTTTGTCACAATTATCTATTGGTTATATGTGAAATTTGTAAAAAAAAAAAGCATAAAAATCTTAACAGTAGACAATATTTTACTTGGTGTCTATTTTCATTTTTTTTATTCAACTTAGAATAGCAAACAAGCTGAAGGCCCACCTGATGGAAAGTGGTAACCGTCGCCTATAGACATGAGCAGTACCATGGACATAACAGAGTATACTGTTTCGCCCATGATACCCCCCATGCGTTGTCATTCCTGAGGACTGGGGTGTTATTCCTCTGTACCCAGTAAATTCACGTCATATCCCACTTTTCAAACTAAAACACAGCCGTGCAAACACAACTGCTTTACGGTTGAAACACGAATGGGACAGAGGTAACCAAGCAATCGACTTTTGTACAAAGTCTCATTGAAGTCCTATTTAAATTTTTATTTCACTACTAATTTATAATGTTTTTATATTAGACAGTACACACATGTAGTTCCTCCTGTGAATAAAAAAAAACAGTAGGTGTTACAAATCATCACAGCAAATTAATTAAGAATTGGAATGATTAAGAAAACTGAATTCTAAATCATCAATATTTTGAGCATTAATTGCTATAGCCGGAATAAGATTATTAAGATAAATACTATATATATATATATATTTATATATATATATATTTATATATATATATATATTTATATATATATATATATATATATATATATATATATATATATATATATATATATATATATATATATATATATATATATATATACTATTACCTAAGGACTAGAATATTAGGCTAGTAATTATATCAAGTGAAGCATGACCAATTGATCATGGAAGGCATCTTAACATTTGATTATGTATAAAAGTGTATACTTAAATGATAAGTTACATAAATACATCCTTAATATTTTGGAACTGCTTCACAGCAAGATCTACAGGCAGATCAAAATTATGCGGGGTCAACCGATCGAGGCTCTGCAGTGTATCCTGAAAACCTGTATTTACAATATAACTAGTCGAAGAATAATAAGAATCTATTAAAGAGCGATTTTTAAGTATGATATTTAGCCATAAAACCAATTTGTGGCAGTTCAAGGCAGCACAAACTAAAGCTTTGAAGTGAGCATCGTAACTCCTTTTGTATGGAGTGTGCGTTGCTATAATGCTGCCAATGGTGCTCAACAAACTCTGTTTATTAGTGATAGCCGTCCCCCCGACTATATCTAAGTTAAAGCTTTGACTTAATTTCCTAGCTGGAGTAGAATTAAACCTGTCCCCATCGTTCAATTCATAGTACCGTAAAATAAGTTCCCAAATATGAGGTGCCTGAGACGCTGAAGACCTTCTGACAGGAAAGCAGCCAATTATAGGGACTAGAGATGATGACTCTGGCCCCACCAATCCATGGTGGAGTAAGTCCCTCAAATTAACAGCTAAGTGACGTCGTACAGCAGTCGTTAGTGGTGCATCGTTGATGGTGATTCCGCCCTCTTCTGATTCACTATCATAACTATCAATAATTGAATGGGACGATCTGTCTCGTGACACCAAGTGGAGCACAGCATCTATTGACATTTCAAGTTTAGCACGCAGATTGCCCCAATGGGTGACAATAGTGGAGGATTTCCTATCAAAGCTTTTACTTGAATTTGGTGAACAACCAAACTGTGATACAGTAAAAATTTGTATTAACGTAGAAGCCTTCCTCATCAAGTTGATGGTTTCCGTTTTAAGATCATCATTCACTTTGTTTTTGTGGAAATTTTTCTCGAAATTTTGAGAATTAACCTTCTTAGGTTCCGTTTTTGTCTTGCCGTTGTCTCTTAGTTCCTCGGATTTCATTAAACTAATGAATTTTTGCATGTCCTCAACATGAATCTGTAGTTTACTAATTATTTCATCTTTGGACAGCTGCCGGTCCGCGTACTGACGGACAGCACAATTAATTTGATGTCTCAGTTCATCAGCACTTAACGGTTGATGGCATCCTTCATCCAGGCTTTGGTCTATTTCACTTCTTAAATGCTCTATTAATACTCTGTGTCTACTATCACTTTTGGAACTAGGGTTGGCTACAAACCTTTCTAACTCTTTCAACTGGGCTTTCAATCTTTCGATAAAATGCGCCTGTTTAGCGCGTTGTCTTCGCATTTTCCTTTCCAACTCTAAACATTCACTACAACTCGTGTCACCCGAGCTGCCCTGTGGCGCCGCCCGCGTGTCAGTCACCCCTCTTGACGTAAACTCTTCCAAAGCTTTTAACATAAGATCCTTTTCTTCAGCAGGGGCCTTTAATATTTGTCGTAGTCTAAACTCTACTTGCGCTAAATGTGACGTCAAAGAAAACACTGAAGATGATAATATTTCCTGTTCCTCCTCCAATGCGTGCAACCTATCTCCTGTAGCTTGTTCAGGTGGGGTTTCTTCACACAAAGTCTCCTTCGGAGCGCCCAGGGGCTCCCGTCTCGGCTCCTGCCATATAGGTATCTCGTTCTCCTCATAATCACTGTTGCTGTCCATTTTTATGTATGTTAATTTATAAACAATTGGATCAGTCTATTTTTCCGCATAGTTTATTTTAAGAATACATGGTGGAAAACTGAAATTCGAGGAACGAAATTGAATTGATTTTGATTACCTCCTACCAACTTATGTACGGACGTCATACGTCTAGTGATGGCGAGTCAGATTGACTTGAGTACTGATTCGAATAACTAATATGTATTCAAGGTTTCGAGAACTCGATATACAAAAGTCGGATATACGATATTTGAAAGCAGGTTTTGAATAATTTCGGTTCTACTTGTGTATTTATTATAAGTTTTTCTGTTTCTGTTTTACTTCTAATTCAGTTAGTATATTACTCATATTTAGTAAAGGAAAAATTATAAGTTTTTAATTATTTTATTGTTTTCATAAAAGTTAATTTCAGATATAAGTTGAAGAAATACTGGAGTCCGATAAAGTACTCGAAAACAGGTATTAAGTAGTTCTTCGAGTCCTCAAACTCGAGTCAGGTTCTAATGAAGGCAGACTCGGTACATCACTATATAATACTAGGCATGTGGGCGTACTTGAAATCGGTAACAAATACAATATCTAGGATCGATCCTATATATTTAAAATGGCACTTAAATTTGATATTGGATATGTTACGCTGTTGCTATCAATAACTTCCATTTATTAATATCTAATCTGTTGATTTAATATAATATATCTTTTTTTCGTTTCTGTTCCATATTTTTTTAAGATTAATATTTAAATATTCACTAATAAATAGAGGTGCCTAATATATAGCAATATATGTATATTCTATATACAATATACACATATCAACTCTATGAATCTATTAAATACAAGTTCTCCAGTATATTATATCGAAATGAAAAATCTGATCAAAATGGATATACTCGTAGATATCCGACTGATATAAGCAATAACAAAATGTGTGATGACTATTTTTCCACTATCAATATCCAGAGGAATCCAATATAAATGTAAATATCGTACCGATACCGATATGACCCATGCCTACTAATACTCTAAATTAAGAGTGTATAATATAAACTATATTATACACTATAGCAATACCTATATATTGTAGTTACAATATCTATACATTAATTGGCCCAATAACAGATATATTAAATATCGGTTATAAAATATATAATATCGAAAAGAAGAACCCGCTTGTAATGAATATAGATATCGGACTGGTATGTGCGATATTGCAATGGGTGGTCATCAATGTCCAATAAAATTCAAAATATAGATATGATATGATATTATCCATCTCTACTCTAAAGAAGATCCTAATCAAAACTAATATATAGATACAATACGTAGGTATCGCGTACCAGCGATATTTACCTATTAAATGAAAGAAAGACGTCACTTACGTCAAAATATGTGTTATGATTTGAATGCTGAACAATGTATGGATTAGAATTAAAAATAATGAAATCGGTCTTTGCAATTTACTCTGTCGTTTGTCGTTTTTAGTTGTCTTTATGCTTTTAAACTTTAAAATAAAATGGATGATAATAGAATTGTATCCCAGCTGCGCTATCGGTATACGCTGGCGGAGCACCAGTGAGAGTGTAAGCAGGTCAGTTGGGTTTGTTTTTTTTTAATAGATGGTAATGGAATGGTAACTTCGCCTGTGCTATTGGTATACACCGGCGGGGCACCAGTGAGGGATAAGTATATGAAGATGAAAGCAGGTCAGTTATATACTGACCTGCTTTCATCCTCATCTTGAGCAATTCCACAAAAAATAATTTCCAGGGAAACCGCGTGGAGGTCGACCTGCTAGCAACAGAGTTGTTAGACCTCATTACTATCAATCCCTTTCCCCTCTATTGGAAGGTATTATAGCAAGAATAATCAAAGTTACCAATTTGTTCCATTGTCATTTGTTACTAAACGCACAAACAGATTAATCTTGCAGGCAGAGAAATCGATTTAGCTAATTTATAATTGGCAAAGTTAACCCAACAATTAGGAATAGGGTGGGGCTGAATATCTATATATAGTAAGTATACACTTAGTACTGTACTGTACTCACAGGTATCTGGGATACTTTCTCGTAACTATTGATTTCTAACAGTCGATTTTCCTTGTCTAAATATAGATAGACACAAAATTGGAATGCGTTAATTATTATTCAAGAACCAGAGGGACCACTCTTAAATCTGATCTTCTATTAAAGGCATATATTATTAGTGTTTTATAATTGCTTCTGTATCTATATTGTTGATTTTATTACTTTTTTCACTATTTCAATTTTATATTCCTTTTTATATTAATACCCGCCCACTATGTATTGTTTATTACAACACATTTGTGATTTGTTAATCTTTGTCGGGTGTCCACGATACAGGTTCGCCTAGTGCGGGGCCCATTGTATCTTGTTTTTGTAACTTTGTGTTTTTTGTCAAATAAACAAAATAAAAAAAAAAATCAATCTATTGGCAATAAACATTTTTTTACGCACGAATTAGGTTAGAATTGAGAACAGTTTGTAATAGTTAATTTTAAACTTTTGCATTGTTTACACATATTTTAAATACACAATCGGGACTTGTTGAAATGTTGGCAATAGAGTAGCAGGTATGTAAGTACTATTTACGTGCAAAGATTTTTCGTTCCTATTGTGTATTTAAAATACAATTAGTAACAGTTTGCATTGGCAAGTTACATTGATGTACGTTTATTAGAATAATTCGGATCCATTATATTGCTAGTATTGCAAATCCAGAGTGCGAGATGTCTCAATTCTAATTTATTTCGAGAGTAAGCCCACAGTATATAAAAACCCTTCTTTGCATTAATTTTTTTATTGGTGAAATAAATTAAGGTGATATAATTCATGTTCAAAATTAAAGGTAAAATTTTTAAAAAATTAAATTTGACAGCTATGTTTTATTTTTCTGCAATGGACATTAAAAAGGTATCCATACACGATCAACTTACCAGAGGGAGACTTTGTACAAAAGTCGATTGCTTGGGTACCTCTGTCCCATTCGTGTTTCAACCGTGAAGCAGTTGTGTTTGCATGGCTGTGTTTCGGTTTGAAGGGTGGGATATGGCGTGAATTTACTGGGTACAGAGGAATAACACCTGAGTCCTCAGGAATGGCAACGCATGGGGGTATCATGGGCGAAACAGTATACTCTGTTATGTCCATGGTACTGCTCATGTCTATAGGCGACGGTTACCACTTTCCATCAGGTGGGCCGTCAGCTTGTTTGCCATTCTAAGTTCTATAAAAAAAAAAAAAAAAAAAAAAAAAAAAAAAAAAAAAAAAAAAAAAAAAAAAAAAAAAAAAAAAACTTACAATGAACTTGTTCTTTTATATAATTTTTGAGTATTCAATGTTACGATGGAAATTTCCATCATTATGCAAAGAAGGATTAAGTTCACTACATCGATATATAAAAAACTCGAATTGTATTTGAAATTAGTAAGCATGGCATTGAAAATTGAGCGCAATTGGATGTCTTTTCACACAATTTTTAATTCTCCAGTGATGTTTATAGTTAAAAGTGAAGACATTTTTTTATCAGTTATATAATACTGCACTAATATTAGTACGAAAGAATTACGAAACAATAACGGATATATTTATTGTAGTTTATTAATTATAACAAATATAGAAGAATTACAAAATAGATTTATCGAACAAGAATGAATGGAGATGTCGGTAGGGGCCGCCCTAGACAGACGTATGTCGACCAAATTGCTGATATGCTGTAAAAGAGCCAAATTAAAATATCCGTAACCGGCGAGCGGTGAAAAGATTGATGAGTGTGGAGGAAGCGAAAGAGGCTTATTTGAATCGAAGCACTTGGCGTTCCATTGTTTCTGCCTACTATAATGGGAGACAGGCGTGACGGATATGTATGTATATGTATGTGTATATAACATCTAGACAATGAGTTTCATATTAATAAATTAGATTTTGCATTAAATAAAAAGTAATTCTTTATATTTTTATTTTAATTTGGCTGTATCTTACAGCGTTAACGTAAAGGCGACTGTTACCATTTTCATTCAAGTGAGCTGTCAGCTTGTTTGCCATTTTAAATTGTAAAACAGTTACCCATCACTTTCCACCAGATGGCGCACCTTATTAGCTTGTTTGCTATTTAAATCGTCATATCAGCCTTTAATTGTCCACAGGCCTCTCCTTTGGGGGGTTTTGCCAGTAGTTGCTACACTTGGCAGGTGGATTGGCAATCGTAATTACGCTTTAGAGATGTTTTAAGAGGGATGCTGCTCGACCATTAAGTTCCCTTAGTCGTCTCTTATGATACCCATGGGAAAGGAAGGGGTGGTCCATTCTATTCCGGGACCACACGGTAATATTTGCTATTTAAATACGTAAATGTATTTAATATAGGTATGTGAAAAAAAAAGGCACGCGAATGTGAATTTTGTTTTTTTTTTGTATAACATCAATGGTTTTTTTTTTTATAAAAAATGTAGTTGTTTGTTCTTTCTGTGTTACCATATTTATTGTAATAAAGTACTATGGGATAATTATATATGTAAATAGAGGGTATGTAGGTATATATCGTACGCCATGTAAATGTATCTCTCAATGGGGAGAACGAAAACAATAAAATGTCAAGTGCTCCGGTTCAAATAGATCTCTCGTAATGAAAGTAGAATTATTACAGAAGGGATATCGTTATGTCAAGCATAAACGAGTGGGTCGGTAGAGGTCGCCCCAGGTAAACGTACCTACATTGACCTAGTCGAATAAGGGACAATTAAAAATTATTCGTAATCGAAGAATTCTTATTTGAATAGATTGATGAAGTGGATGAAGCATATTAAAGGAAATATTTCTTCTTTAAAGTAATTTAGTAAGTTATTTCTTTTCAGCTATAAAATAGTTGCTGTCCACTTGTTGTTTGTTTGTTGTATATATATATATATATATATATATATATATATATATATATATATATATATATATATATATATATATATATATATATAAAAGAATGTCTGGTCTGATATTCCTCAACATATATTATATATATATATATATATATATATATAATTAAAAAAGAGTTATTTATTTCTTAGTTTACATTTGTATTGTATTTGTCTATCCATGATTCAGACATGAACATGATGTACATAGATTACATCCTTTCTCATTA